CCCCAAAACCCCAAAACCCCAAAACCCCAAAACCCCGATAGATTTAGAGGTTATTGAATATTCGAATATTATAGGATCCTAAAAGCCAAGGTTTGAGTGCAGATATAATTAGGAAATAATCCACAAAGCAAACTACCTCGCTCGATATTTCCAATCAATATTTAACTATCTTCGTACTCAAAATTACATCATGCACTTTAAACCCAATCTTACTAACACTCTTCCCCACAGTTATTTGTACAGCTGGCATAACCCTAAACCCGCAGTCACTAAAGAGCAACGAATTTAGCCTGCTTAACAAAGCCATGCTCCTACCTGACCGCATAAGCCTTCTTAAGGATTCTATACAAAAAGTGGGTGCAGATCTAGACTTGTGAGGCTAAGACCCTCAAGATATTTTAGAAGTGTACTGACTAGTTACTAGGACTCCAAGTCTGGCTCAGAATAAACAAACACGGTAAGACTAGTCAGGCAGAATCAGACTTCTGAGTCCAAGATCAGTAAAGCCGAGGAACTAGACACTACAAGAGGGATTCAATACAAGGAGGTGAGAGTAGGATCTTAAGAACAGTTGATTGCAAGATTACAATTATGAAGGAAATTGAGAGAACTTCTTTGCCAATCTTGAATATCTGCCAAGATATTCCTTTGATCCAACCGTGATTTCAATCTCAGTATCTAATCTTTGATGTATAAGTCTCTTAGACATTTCATGAAAGTCATTGCTGACTGAAGTCGATGGATCAGAGGCTGAAATTCGAACAATTTTTAAGTTTGGAAGAGTCCTCAAAGTACTGAACAAGCTCTTTATTGTATTACTACAACTTTTTGTTCCCCAATTTCTTGAAATGCAGAATTCTAGAGATTTGAGATTTTTCTTGCTTTGTAAGAACTCAACAAGCTGACTAAGCTCATACGTAGCATCTAAATCCCCATGAATTTTCATAGAAACCACATTTTTGGATTCAAAAGTGTCAAAGTACTTGGTCAAATTTTCACTATCTTTGTCTCGACTGATTTGAGAGGAGTGTGAAACCTCTAATTCAATTTTAGTGTCTTTGTGTAGGGCTTTGATTCTGTTTAATATTCTTTCAGTCATATTTTCTAATCAGATGGAAACTGTCAAAGTCTCCCCAGGATATAAACGAATGCTTTTAAGAGTAAGATAGCTAATTTCTTTATGAAGATTCACAATATTTTTCATGGGAATGATAATTCTGTTGTCCTTGAGAATGGTTTTATCAATCCCAATATCATCTAGAGGTACTTAATTATAGCTAATTGAAATTTTTATCTTAGAAATCCACAAAATACCAGTAAATATTAGTATTTTGACAAAACTGTGGGTTACTAACTTTGAATCATTTTCATAAAAAAAATCAGCAGACCCTTTTATTCAATTTGGTTTGATATGCTGGATATTGAAGAAGAGGATGAGCTTTGACCTTCCTGATGGAAACCCTCTGGTTGACCAATATTAAAAGAAGAAGAAAAGCCAGAGGAACCGAAGTACCCAATTTTAAAGATTAAATTGCGGACCCCATCAAATGAATCCTGAAAGACCTTTATAGAGTTTCTTAGGAGAGGAAGTTCATTGCCTTCTGCTTGGTTTATAGAAAATATTATATATGTCGAAGAAAGCCATTTGGCCATCATAACTACCATTTTGAGCTCCTGTAATTAACTTCTAAGGAGCTAAAACTTCTATAAATTAAATCCCTATCTTCCAAATGCTCAGTCAGTTTTATGTACTTAGGATAAAGCGGGAGGAAACAGGAAAAGAGACAGCAAGTTATGAAACAGACTCCTGAGCCAAGTGATAACAAGCAGAAGAGAGATTCTAAATATAAGAAGATGGAGAAGTCAGTTATGAATGCCAACAAATGTAGAAGAGAAGGCTAATCAAGAAGATTGTGATAGCCATTAGGAGATAGACACAACTGATAAAGGCTTCAGCCCTGTGGTGGAACAGAGGAGTTTGAAAATGTGGTAAAGTAGTTACTAAGAATTCATTTAAGTGGGGTATCCATTGATATCAATGATTCCTTGTGAATAAAGCTTTTGACGAGTTGGCTATCTTTAATTAGATCATTAATGTGCTTCTCTTTTCTTCTATTATGTCGGCCAGCTTTTCTAGTTCTATTTTTCAATTTCGAACTCTTTGCAGATAACTCGAGCCCTTATCCTTTAATTTCTAAGCTATTCTCTTTTTTTTAGTGTTTTCTGAGTCACTTACGGCTTTTGCCTTTGCTCATTAAGCATGAAATGGCTTTATCATCATGCTTGATACCATCCGATAAGGCTTGAGTAACCTGCAATATCAGACGAAATATTAATGCTGAGGTTTATTTTCTTTAAAAGTCTTGCTTCTCTTGCATTCAAGATCCTCTTCATTTTCCTTGAAGCTCATCTGGATCTAGTAAGTAGCTTACTGAAGCTAGTAGAAACAAAGGGCATACATAAATTTCTAAGGAAAATGCAGTTTGGAATGCATTTCCGACAATTGGAAGGCAGGTATCCTTCACCATCACTCTCCTCAATGATGAACCCCACCAAATCCTCTGACCTTAAGCCTGAAATGTGGGGAATACTACAGACATTCAAGTTTGATGCTTTATAGCCTATGCTGCTATTCAAGACATCTTAGACAGAAATTGACTACCTTCTCGCTGATCAAATCAGATGTCACTGATGAATTCCATAGGTGCTTGCTCTTGAGGAGGGAGATATAACTCTTCTTTGATAGTCAGTGGTTTGTAAATCTCAGGCTTCAATTGCGCTTTTGTTCCACCTCATTTGGGCTAACTTCTTTGAATTCCATTTACATATGGTTTCGATTATTTTTAAACCAAGGAAGTCTAAAATTATAAGCTCCAATCCTTCTTTTATACCTTCTGTAAGCTATCAGAAATTATTAGAATCTATCAAGCTCTGTCATAACAGCCAATTCCTGAACGAAGATTTCCCAGGTGAAATCTAACATTTCTGATAAAATTTTCTTTTGGAGCAACTATAATTAGAATAATCAGCATTCTCTAATAATATTTTGGGATGAAAAATTACAAGCAAGAATGAATCCAGCCTTGGTTACAAGTGGATCGATAATTCTCATGGAGAGGATGAAGCCTGACTATGAACTTGTAGGATCTTCCTCAACAAGAACTTTAAATACAAGCATTTTGATATTAGAAGCCTTCTGGTTTATATGACCAAGTTTGAGAAGATAGATTTATAGTAGAATTAAAAGATTAGATGGCACAAACCGAAAATATTTAGGACAGGAAGAAACATTGACTACTATATTCTGAAGAAAAGCAAAAATCTCACCAAAGAAGAACTCATCTCTTAATCCAATCTCTTGGGTGAAGAACTCAAAAATTATGTTGAAGAAGGCAGCATCAAGGTATTCTTCAATGGTCGTTGGAATTAATTTAAAGATTAAAAGGACTGAGAAAGCAAAGGATAATCAGAATCCTTAATTATCAGCTATACAAAAATGAGAAGAAACTTCTGTATATAGATAGAAGACAGATTCAAGGAATGCCCCCACTACATGAAAGAAATTCAATGTCTGCTTCTGGATCACTTACCGGTTGAAGTCAAGATCAGCCAAGTTCTGAAGATTGCTTCTTCAACATTTATCAGACTTGCAAAAGAAACAAAAAGAGTTAGATGAGAAGTAACCAGACTATTTAGAGAGTAGGAATGAGAACCAAGGCTTGATAGCTACAGAACATGTTATGAGCAGGATCTTAGCTGAACCTCCAAAGTTTCCAATAGCAATCAGAGTAATTTAAAAATAGTTGAAGATAGCTTTTGGGACCACTTCGTACAATAAAATAAGAACTTTTTGAAATACTACTTCAAAAGATAAGGAAATAGATCATTAATAAACAAGAATTCTCGATCAATCTTCTGACAGAGCCTCTTCTGATTAAAGATGCTGGGGCATTGAGAAATTGACACTGAGCAGTGAATGTTAATGAATGCTTCTTCAATAGATTTGTATAGACTCATTACTCCTGGCTACCATTAGAGAAGTCCCAGCCTTTCATCAACCAGACTTGAGGAGAGAAGGCTTCTTTTATGTCTGGCTTAGCTTCCAATAGGCTCTTAATAAGAATTGTTATAGATGGAAGTAACAGATCCAACATTTTTTGTTGCTTTCTCTTGATTCTATCGAAATACTGAAGAGTTTTCAAAGTAGGTTATGAGGAACCTGTTAGAATGATAGTCGGTAACACTTATCTACACTTGACAAAGAGAAGTAGGAGAAGGCCAACATTAATAAAAATGCAAATGCTAAGTCTACCTCCATACTTACCTCATTTAGCTCCTGTGGAAGTAGTCTTTGGAATTACTCAAAGGAAGATATATACAGAAGAGCCTCAAAGAATAATAAATTTTACCTAATCCATAGGAAAGATGCTCGTATGAAAGAAGCTCTAAGAGATAGAGGCTTCTACTAGAATAAAAATTTTGTCAAGATTTGTCAAAGAAGCTATCGATATCATAATCAGGAACATTTCAAAATATGAACAATCAAGACTTAATAAAGCGCACAAATGAAGAGACTAAAGCGAAGGATAATAACATCAATAATTTCGCTACTAAATCTGACTTTCTCTTTATCAAACACTAATCATTCTTTGTTGGCAAAATGCCAACCTCGATAATGCTCTTCGAACTTCTTCATGACCAAAGCTTGATCTTTGATAATCCAATAACATAGGTTAGCCTGAAGCGGTGTGTCTCAGTTAGCCTCAAAACTATCTGTAACTTGTAAGCTAAGGCCACTTTGTATGCAGCTCTGAGCAAATGGAACTAGGGGCTCAAACAATGAGTCACTTTCCTCTCTTGGTTCACAATATCGCCATAAAGAAAGAAAGAGCCTTACTGTCTTGAGCCTACAATTTCGGGCTTGAAGGTACTTAGACCAGAGCTTTAGTGTCTTTGAAAGTCCTATTAGAGTAATAGATTTATTCAAAATACCATTGTTGAATACTTTGATCTCTAAAACAGAAGAAAGAATGTTTTGGAATACTTGTTCAATTGGTGTGGTCTCCAGGTACTTCATAATTTGTGATCTCTTTAGTCAATATCACTTTTGGTCTTCCATCATCCAAGTATCTTCATTTCTTCAAATTGGATAACTTCTCCAAATAGTCGTTCCCTCTGAATCCCAAGTTTGGAACAGCTGGCAATTTTCTATCTTATAAAATATTTTAGGAGGGACAAAATATTTTCAGCCTTCAAGTTCATAGACTTCGAATTTCTTTTGAAGCATCTTTGCTATTTTCTGCATATTATTGAAAATTACAGGGTAATCAAATTTTATAGGACCACAATAATGCCAACATTTGAATCTTCTAAAGGAAGTTAACACTTTTTGTGGTTACAGTCTGCATGTCAGCTCCTTTAAAAATGATATCTAGATACTTCTGATCAACTAGTTCAATTTCAAATACTTTGAATTCAAGTTGATACAACTTAGAAAATTCACTCATCATGAATCGTTGAGTGTCTAAGACGTGCTCTTTGCTTGTTCAAAAATTCTTATTAAATGTAATCCAAATTTTTAAGGTCTTCTTTTTCAGTATAAGCCTTACCTCATCGTCTTCGCCAGGGTAGTTCCTCAGCAAAATATGTCTGTTTAGGTTCCAAAGACTTCTGGAAGCGCTTCTTAGCTGAGTCATAAGCCCCCTGCATTCATCTGCATATCCATAGTAAGGCAGAATAACAGAAGCCAGAGGCAGATTGGTGAGAAACTCTTTGGTTAATCTTGATGATTGAAGAGTTGTCTTCATCTGGGCAAAGTCCCAAATTGCGGGAGTTTCCATAATTATTTCAATTATTTATTTTTAGCCTGGGGTTTTGGGGTTTTGGGGTTTTGGGG